GGTGTCAGGTGTGAGTGACAGCTAAGTAAGATACTACAACTAATGTGTTTGGCACAGACCTTGGCCATGGAACGTGCTCAACACATAGTAATTATTGCTTTTGTTCTTACTGACATCTGTCATTCTCATCTGCATCCCCAAGAGCCCAGGTGCTCTGACCAAGGAAGAGAGTGCTAGAGCCTTATATTTGAACAGACTTGGCCAATTCCTATACAAACTGTCTGTTCAGTCCCCTAGTGGATCCCCAACAACCCATGGGTGGGCCTCCTGGCATACCACAAAGGGGGTTTCTCAGGGTTCAGAAGAAGAAAGCCCAAAGGCCTGCTCTGGCCTGAAGACCCTAGGTGAACACAAATCCTGCCTCAGTTTCCTCATTTACAAAGTACAAAGCCTGCCCAGGACAGGCTGCATGAGGCGTCAGCCAGCACACACTATCTCAGCATCTTCCGTATGTTCTGACCTGTCCTGGGCACAGGAGATGTAAAACATGGCCCTTCCAAGGAGTCCAAGTCTGAGGGCAAAACCTAATGGGGTGATGAGTACTCAGCAGGTTAAGTAGAAGGGCCACAAGTATGGGGATTGTGAGAACCAAAAGGAGGAGCACCTACCCTAGATTTGGGGGTTAGGGACAGTGCAACTTTCTGGAATAAATAGCACTTCTCCTTGGGAGCTTGCTTTGTAAACATCAATGTTCTGTACAAATATATAGGATTGTTTACTCCTGTATTTCCAGTTGTGAGGCCTGAGGGCTTGAGCACTGTGGTGTAGGACAGCTGAGGCTTCTTAGTGAAGTTCTAGTGCTGCTAATGTGTTTATTAGAAGACACTGAGGGCAGACTGGGGACACGCTGGCCCAGGGCCCCTCACGCTGTTGGTGTCAGAGCTGGGTCCAGCATCTGAATGCTTAACTTCCCATTTCAGGCATTCACTGCTTTCAGACCTGACACCTCCTCCCCAGCTTCCTAGACCGTCTTACACACGCACACACACACACACACACACACACACACACACACACACGTGCATGCACACATGAGCGCCTGCTTGCCCAGCAGAGCACACCTGTGGCCTCTCACCCTCCCCTGTTGCCAACTCCTGTAAAACAGGAAAACAGAGCAGCTTGGCTTCAGCTGTAATGTGTACAAACACATGCGGAAAAGTTTCCAAAGAGAGACAGACAGTGAGGGCCTTTCAGGGTCTGGCAGTTTTATGGGCAGAGGCCAATTAAAAAGCACACCCCCACACAAAGCCCATGGATTTTGCTTGGCTGGTGCCTCCTCTCCAGGCCCCTCGTATGCTGCACTGATGGCACAAAATGGAAGGGATGCTGTACTCAAGAGATCTTGGGCACTTCTGTGCTCCCCAGGGATCCCCCTCAAACCCCTTATTCTAGACCTAAAGCTCAGTTTTGCTGGATGCCAGCTCTGAGCTAGGTCTCCTGCAGGCTCCAGGTGCAGAGAGGATCCTACCCTGCCCATGCCCTTGTGTTGCTTATACTCCTGTGAGGGACAAGGACATTGAGGGAAATGCTGGAAGGGAGGCAGGGAGTCCCCACTATAGGACCCCACCGGAGAAAGGCACTAATTCCTTCAAGGAGAGGCAGAAGGAGCTGGTGCAAGTGAAAGACATTTCAGCTGGATCTGCCCAAGCTGGAAGGGCATTCCCAGCAGGGGCAGCAGCACCTACACAGGCTGGGAGGGAAGGTGTGGGGGGCATTTTCTGAGATTTTTCAATGTGGCTGCAGAGCAGAGTGTTGCGTATAAGACTGACAACAATCAGCACTTTACAGTATTTATTACATGCCAGGCACTACTCTAAGTGCCTGACATATGTCGACCCATTAAACCCTCACTAAAACCTGATGAGCTGTGGTATTATTTACCCAAATTGGCAGAGGAGAAAAACCAAGGCATGGAGAGGTTGTCGTTTGCCCAAGGTTGCTGGAACCTTACAGCCATTGGCTTGTATGACCATGAGCCATATGGGGGCTGTCTCTAGGGCAGTAGAGTTGGCTGGGGATCCAGGGACCTTAACCCTCTCTAGACTGGCCAAATGAAACCATTCATCCTGCCATCATCAATCTCAAAGGGACAAAGTGAAAATGAAAAGGGGGAAGAGAGGTGAAAAATGTTTTGTATACCAGTTATCATCTGATAGAATTCCTCACGTCACAACACGTGCATGTTTCCCAGGGTAGTGGGGGCATATGGAGAACCCAAGGCCCACAGAGAGCAACTGGCTTGCTCAAGGCCACTCAGCCACTCTACTGCAGAAGCAAAACTGGGCTGAAGAAAGAGGAAGAGAAGGAAGAAGTGGGGGACGCAGAGGGGGAGAGAAGACGGCAATGAGGAATCCAGTATTCTTTTCATAAGTGCAATACCTCACTCTTGCATAACATTCTACACTGGCTCTACATAGCCTCTCACCATGGTTTATATACTTGCATTTGGAAGATATAACAATCCATGCATATTTATACACAGATCCATGCATAGTTTCCATATAAAGCTAAAAAATATTCTTGGCTCTCTGAGTTCCAATTACTGTATCTGCACAATGCAAATCATGCCTCATCCATACACTGTCCTTTGAGCCCATATGGGCAGATCATTCACTTCATGCCCCTTATTCTGCCCAGAGACCCAACCTCCTGGATCTCTTAGTTAACAAGCCCTGTTGAGTCAACCTTAATCCCGCTCAGATCCAGCCCCACTATTGCAGTGGCCCCAGCTCAGGCATCCTCATCTCTGTCCTCATTTCTCCTTGGAGCTCTTGCTATTGCTTTAAGTTCCATCTTCTCAATCACTTTTCCTTCAATTAAACTTTTGATACTATTTACAATTTACGTGCCTTATAGGGTGCTAGTCATTAATTCCTCCTCTTAATCAGAATTCTCTAAGCCTTTCTCATACAAAGCTTCCCAGTCATCACTCCAAATTCATAGCATTATGCATATTGTCTGTTAGGAGGAAAAAAATGACCCTCCTATATGTAGTACTGAGTACTTTACAGTTATTATCTCATTCAAACCTCATAATAATCCCATGAGGTAGGACTGCTTTGAACCCCATTTGCTGATGAAGAAACTGAGGTTCAGAAGTCAAATTACTTACCCAAGGTAACAGCTGGTAAATGGCAGCACGTCAGATTCAAAGTGAATCAGGCTCAGACCACAACGCCAGCACTCCACGGAGTTCAATTTTCTGCAACTGTTGAGCTAAATTTTTCCTCTGGTTGGGTCAAGAAAATGGAAAGCTATAACAATGGGGTGACTGGGTGAAGGCCTGGGACCTAGGGTTCAGGAAAGGATATACGTGAGAGGAATTTAGAACAGGGCTTGGCAGGTGGCCATGCTACAGACTGAATGTGTGTGCCCAACCCCTAAATTCATGTGTTGAAACCTAATCCCCAATGTGATAGTATATGGAGGTGGGGCCTTCGTGAGGTGATTCAGTCATGAGGGTGAAGCCCTTGTGAATGGGATCAGTGCCCTTTTAAAAGAGACCCCAGGTGCTCCATCACCCCTTCCACCATGTGAGAACACAGTCAGAAGATAGCTCCCTATGAACAAGGTCACTCTCACCAGCCACCGAATCTGCCAATGTCTTCGTCTTGGACTTCCAGCCTCCAGAACTATAAGAGACAAATCTGTGTTGTTTATAAGTCACCCAGTCTATTGTTTTCCATTATACCATAACTAAGACAGGCAACTGACAAAGACAGGTGAGTACTCAGTGAAAGGAACTATTACTTTTCATCTTCTGGTTGTAAGATGTGTGTTCCTCTCTAAACATACGATCCCTAGGAGGAGAAGGGTTGCCAACACTATAGGAGGGATTTATTCATCTAAACTCCACCTACATACTTGCAGAAATACAAATCCAATAGTAACAAAACTTGGTGAAAGAGCATCTTTGCACTCATATTACTGGAAGTTGAAGAGCTCTCTAGGTACTTGAGTTATTTAGAAGAATGTCCTTTGCTTTGTTTCCCCACTGGTATTAGAGTCCTGGGTGGAGGATGGGGTGGGGGCTCAGCATGGAAAGGGGTTGTTGATCTATCTCAGCAGCACTCATCAAAATACAGAAGTAGGCATATTTTTAACTGCTTATATTTTATTGATATTCATGATCTCTCCCTCTCTTCTTTGTAATACGTGTCATCCTTGCATTACGAAATACCTGACCTGCACCCCACTTCTAGCAGGCTCACTTCTCTGAGCTATTGCCAGGATGTTAAGAACCTATAATGCTTCACTGTACTCATCACCCTCCCAAGTAACATCCTGGAAGCAGTACAGCTAGCATTTAAGATGAGACTCTAGCGGTATAATGTCAACCCAAGGCCTCAGGGTACAAACTGGAAAATGACAATAGTTACCCTCTTTGGGGCCTTCTCTGGTTCAACCCCCATCCTGTAGCTGGAACGGTTTTTCCTAAAGAGCAAGTTGACTGTTTCCCTCTTGATGTTCTGCGGGGGCCGTCCGTTACTTCACAAGTGGTCAAACTTCTTGTCCAAGGCTCTCAACACTCTGCCCGGTCCCCAGCCTCACCTCTTCTACGATCCACTTAGATTCTCATGGAAAGTGCTTTCAGCCCTTGAATGAGTCATGTTTTGCTCTTACTATCTCTGGGGTTTAAATCCCGAAGTCCTGTCTGTCTAGATCAAGCCTCAACCTTCCTTGTCTGTCTGCTTGACTCCCCCTCATCCTTTGGGCTTAGGCCTTACTTTCCCAAGGAAGCATTCCTGAACCCCTCCTGTTTGCCTCACGACCCAACAATGGGTTCAGAGAAGCTCCATCCTTTCCCTACCACACACAGCCTGAAATCACCAGATTGCTTCTCTGTGATTCCCAATGGACACCAAGTTCCCTGAGAGCAAGCAGCTTCTCAGTCCTTCACTGCAGGCCCATTGCCTAGCATATGGTAGGTGACCAAGAAATACTAGTTGAGTGAAGAAACAGAGGTCCCCCAGTGGTAAGAAACACTATCCAAGCAGAAAGAGAGACAATAGGAATTTTTAATGCATGGAAAGCCCTGCAGGGACTCTGGGCAGACCCACAGGTAGCAGGAAGAGGCAGGGCTCCTGCAAACTCAGTAATGTCTGAAAAAAAAGTCATAAAGACCCAAGCTTCCTCACTGCGACGATCCTCGGGGCCTCCTTCCTGACGCTGAGGGGGTCCAGTTGTCCCTTCAGAGGGTTCCTCCAGGGGTCCATGGCAGAAGGAAGCTGCGTGTGACAGGCGGAAGGAAGAAGAACAAAGGCCGCTTGATCTCCACCTGATAGGTCCTGCCTCGGGACTGACCGCCATCCATAAGAAAAAGTTTAAAAAGGGGACACTTTGCTAGCGTCAAATAATATCTTAGAAAAAATAAAAGATAGAGAAAAATGGACAATTCCAGTGGTTACAAAGTTCTCTGTTGGCTATCCACAAGAGAAAAGAGTTTGCTTTGGCTCGCTGGCAAGCCTCATCTGCCGGGCCCCTCCTCGGCTGACCCCCAGCCCACCCAGGCCCCAGCATCCACGTGAGTACTGCTCCCCCTCCCACGGAGAGTCTCTGTGCTCACGGAGGGCGGCGCCCTCCCTCACCGGCCCTTGGACTCCCCATACGTGTTTCGGGCCATGGACACCATCTTCTCCTCGCATGTGATTTTGGTGTCCTTAAGGATGCTGTACCACACCATACCCGCAGGCCGGACTTCCTCACTGCGACAGAAAAGGTAGGGCACGGTGTCCACACGGCTCTGGATGTGGGCGCTGCGCAGGAGGCCGGAGCAGTGGCTGCTCACCCTCTCTAGGCGTCGTAGGATCAGGTGGGCCTTCCTGAAAGGCAGGAGGAGACGGTGATGGGGGAAGCAAGCTAAGCCTTTGAGAGGTGAATAAACGTCAGTAGACAAATGAGGACTTCTTGTCCCAGTTTCCTATCCATTCCTGACCTGAGTATGGCACTTCAAGCACCTATTCCAAAGTCACTTTGGAACCTGTCTTGTTCAATTGTGCAATGTGTAAAACATGAGAGTGGTGTAACCTCTGATCTGGCATTTTCACTTCTAAGATAGGAGAATCCTGGGACTTATATGGTCACCAGCCTTGGGACTCTGACCAAGTAGAGATTATAATAATAATGATCAACAACAACAACTAAAATTTATAGCCACTTTCCGTGTGCTAGACACTGGATAAATACTTTACATACATTCCAAAGCTTTATTTAATCTTCACAACAATACTGTTCTTTCTACTCACATACTTCAAGGGCACAAACTCCAAGTTTTAGAGAAATGACATGACTTGACCAAGGTCAAGTATCAAGTTGACCATTGCAGGTGGACATGCAGATGCTGGCCTGAACACCTACCAAGTCCCCCTCCAAAGGTCTGCCTTCTTGTTTTTCTAAACCCTCATACTCTTTTCTCAGTCAGGAAATTTGGAAATCGTTCATCAGAGCCTTAATATATATGTCCCCAAATCCAAACTTCCCTGTATCTCATTTGTCTCACGTCTAAAATAGTGAGGGTGGCCTCACATTCCTAAGTTGGCTGGGAGATTAACTATGAGAAATGCCCAAAGCAGAGTGAACTCCCGATACATGGCCGCTGCTATTATAAAGAATTGCTATGATGATGGCATCAAGGTCATGCTGAACACTAGTCTAAGCAAAAGTCACCTGGTCCTGTGAGGATTATCATTAATAACTTACCTAGGAGCCCTTTATCCAGCACCAGACAGAGGATCCCTGAGAGATCCGTTGGCTGCCCAGAGAATTAAAGTTAGCAAGAATCACTCACATCCTTGGGTTTCTCATTGGTGATACTACTGGCATCGGATCCAGATAGTTCTTGGTTGCGGGGCCTGTCTTGTAGGAAGTTTAGCAGCCCCCACCCCAGTTATGGCAATATAGTTGTCTCTAGACATTTGCATTCTGGGGGTGCAACTGAGACAACTGACCTAGTCTGACCTACTCATTAAAGATGTGGAAACTGAGGCTTAGGGAGAGGAATATGCTTTCCCCAGGACACACCATATGTACGCTTCACCATCAAGATGTGTCTCCATGTGGAATCCACTTTCCTCTACAACCCGGTAATTTCAAGATGCCCTGGAATCCTGAGGGGCTAAATGAGAGGTCCTCTCTTGCTGTCCCCTCTGTGCCTCTCCGAGACCCCGGGAGGGAGGGTGCTTTATGACAACACACTCCATAAATGGGAGACTGTGTGAGGCACATGTGTGGTGGCTAGAAAAGGGCTGGGCTTACATGTGAACATTTTGTGGGCACAATTTATGAGGTGCCTTTCAAAAAGTCCTCTTTGTATAGTTCACCACTTGGGTGGAATATTTCCCAAGGTGCCAAAAATTCATAGCTTCATAATCACACTCAGGTTGCCACTCTGCCCACAGCCCTTTCTCCCCTCTGGCAGGCACCTCCCCAGAGGAACCCAAGGAGTTCATTTCTTACCCCTCCTTGTTTGACTTCTTGCTCTGTTCCTTAGCAGCTCAGTGTCCTTAGGGAATTTTCTTTACGTCTCTAAACCTATTTCTTCACTTGAAAAATGGGGCTTTTGTGAAGTTAAAGGAGATGAAGTCATTGGTTGTTCATTTATTGAGCATTTATTATATGCGGAGCTGCCCATTCAGTAAGAAAGACACACAAATAGAAAACTGCAGCATACATGGCAAGAGCAATGATACAAGGAAGTATGGGAGCTGTGGGAAAACGGAAAGGTGCCTAGGCGAGATTGTAGCTATCCAAGAGGCTTCCTGGTAGGAGGGGCACTTGTTGAGTCTCACAGATGAGTAGGGGTGAGGTAAAGAAGAGGACAAAGGCATGACAATCAAGAGGCATAGGTGAAGGCACAGAGCCATGGGATTATACACAGAAGTTCTGGGAATGTATGGCTGGAATACAGCAAGCAAGGGGGGACACAGGGAGTGGGGAAACCGGCGAAGTGACAGGAGCCTGGCCACAGGAGCTTAGAAACTGGGGCATTAATTATATGGCATAACAGTGCCCCATACAGATGCTGGAGCCAACTGCTCAGGTTCAAATCCCTGCTCAATTACCTTCTAAGCTCTGTGATATTGAGGGGTTTGCTTAACTGCTTGTGTCTCAGTTTCTTTACCCATAGAATGGGAACAATAATTGTATCCACTACAAAGGGATGTTTTAAGAATTCTTACAAAAACATTAATGAATCTATAGCAAGCCCTATGACTACTGTCTGGATGGGGAGATTTGCAGGGACTCAAGCAACGGAGGACCAGGAGCAAGACTTGAGTGCTGGAAAACATTTCTGGGGGCCTTGAGAAGACTCGGGTTGGGGGAGGGCAAGACTGGTGGCAAGAAAGCAGGTAGGACACACACCCAGGTGTGAAGTGTTCCCCATCACTGTATGAGGAGTACTGGTTTGTTTTCTCTGTGATTTTCAAAAGCCACTTACTCTTTCTGTTTCCTTGTTTATAAAAAGGGAGTAACATTTGCTGACCTCATAGAGTTAGAGTGAGGATTACGTAAGTTAACACATGTAAAACTTTTAGAACTAAGTGTTTGGTGCACAGTAAGGCCCTGACATGTAGGAAGTGTCACCACCACACCACCACCACCACCACCGCCACCATTATTTGTGTACTGTTTTCAGCCTTGAGCACCTTTATAAGTCAGTGGCAGGAGACAGACAGACAGGAGTAGTAACAGCATCTAATTTAGGGGCAGAATTCTGGGTTCAAGAACATGCTGGGTGCTATGGGAATACATAAAGCAGACACCTAATCACTAGTTTGGGGGCTCAGAGAAATCCTCCCAGGGGATGTACCATCTGAGCTAAGGCTTCAGTGATGAAACATATTTTTCAGGGAGATGGGGAAGCAGAGGAAATAGCCCATGTAAAGTCTGACTGGAGAGATCATAAACCACCAGTTGTTTGAAATGGTCAGTGTAAAGAATGAGTGAGGGGCCACCTTGACAGATATCAGCCCACCCAGGGTCTTCTGAGTCGTGAAGCATTTTATTTTGAGGGCAATGGAGAGTGATTTTCTGACCCAGTCACAAAAATAAGCCACATATACAAAATGAGGTTAGAGAAGACAATTCCTCCAATGCACTCACATGCTTTGCCTCCAACGGTCCAGTCATTTCCTCAGAGAACCTTGGAACTTAACTGGACCAAGTTTCCCTTTGTATCATGAGGAAACTGGGGTTTGATGTGAGAAAATAATTTTCCTAAAGAAACTACCTTATGTTAGTAATAAAGGCAAAGCCAGAACCGGGGCTCCTGATTTGTATAGAGCTGAGATGAAACACTTGCCTCTGGAGTCCCAGATTCACAATGAGCTCTGTACTTCCACAGCTGTGTGGATCATGCATTACTAAGTTCTTCAATGCCAGTAACTCTTAGTTACCACATCAATGGGAATAACAACAGTGTTTTGAGGAGGACATGATAACCTGGGTAATTTGTTTAGCTCTCAGTAACCTAGCCAAGATTCAAAGTAGCATTTTGTAGTAGAAAGGACATAGGCTTTAGAGACCATTATGGAAAGTCTTGTCTCTATGAGCCTTAGTTTGCTCATTTGTAAAATGAGAATAGAGATGCTTATTGTATGGGGCTGTTGTTAGGCTGTAATGACTGCCACAGGCATCCAGCACAGGAATCTGTACGTAATAGACACTAAACCAACATCAGTTCACTTAACTGTCCCCTCTTCTTTCTCCACCATGCACAGTGCCTCAGCACTGTGGCTTGAATTTAGGCAACAAAGACAGGGAAACTGAGAAGGTGAAGCTGTGGAGAGAAGGGTTGGAGGTGCTCAAAGGCTGGAGGGGAGGAGGGCGAGTGGGAGACCAAAGGCGAGAGTGCTGGGTAATAAATTGCATGCAATGCAGATGCATAAATCAAAGGCCAGGCATGTTCTAAGCTTTCCTTGGAGGGGGAAATTGTAGGTCAGAGTGACCACTTTTCTCAAATACCGGAAATGAAATCTTCCTCATTGGAGACAGGACCCAGACTCCCTGGGATAGGAAGCCAGAGGTGAAGGAGGGACCCCACACATTAATTTAGGGTTGCATTAGCAGGCAAGATTGAGACAGGGATGGCTTATGAAGGAGTCAAGGTCTGGGCTGGGATGCCACTTCTCCGGGAATTATAGAACCTTTGACCAGCCATTCTGTTCCCAGCACCGTTACCCAATCAGCTGCTGACACAATTATGGGACAGAGACCTAAATTCTAAGGGGGTCTTGGAATGGAGAAAAGGAGGACAGACAGTAAGGAAATATTCGGGTTGGCCCCTCTCCCTCCTCCCTGCCTCCTTGAGTTGAGCTGAAATGTCTCCGGGTTAGCTAACCTCAAGCTTAATGAGAGTCGAGGGCATGATGTAGTTGCAAAACACTGGAACACAGCCTCCAGAAGTGGAGAGGGCAGATTAAAGGAAGTAATGACTTCATTCATGCTGCCCTGGTCAGGCCACGTCTGGAGAAGGCCAGTCACTTCTGGTAAGAAGGACATATGCAGACTGCAGCCAGCTCATGCTGCTGAAGGGCGTCTCAAAGGCAAATCTTCTAAGGAAGTGCTGAAAGCAGAAATGGCATGCATCCACTGAAGGAGGACTTTAAGCAAACCGATATATTGTTCTAGTAACTGAAGACAAGTCTGGGGAAAAACTGCAAGTCAGGGATAATCACTATAACTGATAAAGCACCTATACATGCCAGAAGCCTACTCAACGTCATCTTCAATATAATTCTCACAACAATTCTAGAGTTCGTACTTTAGTTCCAGTCCTCAGGCGGTAAAGTGAGTCTCAGGCTGGTCATAAGTTCGGACAGGG